GGCCAGGCCAGGAGGGGCCCCACTGCCCTTTTAGGAAGGAGGAGTGGAGGCACAGGTGTGCTGGCCAGTTACAGGCTGGCAGAGAGCTCAGTGGCCCAAGCAACTAACAGACACAAAGAAGTTCATGCTGGATGCTTCCAATTCTGGAACATTCTAGAACATTCTACATCAGGTAAACCAAATCCTGGTGATGTAACAAGAGGGCCGAGAATTGGCTACAAAGGGCAGGAGGGGACTTTCTGGGGTGGTGATGATGTTCCTTATCTTGATTGGGGTGGTGCTTACACAGATGTATCCTGTGTAAACTATACACTTAGGATTGTGTATATTATACCTTAATGTGGATCACAGGAAATGGGTTCCCTTTTGGCTCACCTATCTGTGAGGCTGGACTGACTTGGGGACAGTGGAGGACAGGTGTAGTGACCTGTCCACTCACTCATTCACTCACCATTTTGAGCCCTCTAAGCCAGGGCACTTCATGTTTGGACATACGAGAGTGAATGAGAACCATGTTCCCTGGTCTCACCGTTTACCCTCTAGCCAGGGAGACAGATAATAAATAACTAAATATGTAGTAGGTGGTGATAAACACTTTCAAGAAAAGTAGATGATGGTTAGGGCAGGCAGGTCTCTCTGAGGAGGTGACACTTGAGCAGAGAGCTGAGAGAGGTAGGGAGGCAGCTCTGGATACCAAGAGAAGGGTGTTTCAGGCAGAGGAACAGCCAGTGCAAAGGCCCTGAGGTGAGAGGGTGCTTGAGCAAATGACTGGTGAAACGTGAAAGGACACATCAAGCCATAGACCCTGGGCTTACATCCTCCCAGCCCAGCGGCCTCGGCAGAAAGATCCGGCTCTTTCTCAGAGGACCACAGGGAAGTCCCAGAGCTGCCCCTCCTTGGGCCCGTTTTGATGAAACGCCATCACTGAACCAGTCACTGGGCCAGAGGAGAAGTAGGGTTCTGATCAGCCAGACCCAGGGCAAAGGCTGGGAGGAGGAATAAAGTGGGGGAGAGGCGGTTCCCCAAGGCAAGTCTTAGTTCTAAGAACGAAGGTAATGGAGGCCCAGGAGGCAGAAGCCACAGGTAGTTGCTCTACGGGATGAGCCAGAGCAGCAGGGACTTTAGGGCGGCAGGGAGGGGCCCGGCGGGCGAGGACTATGAACTTAAGGGGCTAAGGGCCCAGATGTTGCCCAAATGATAGCATCAGTGTTCCTGGCTATGTGCGTTTTTTTCCCCACAAGTCTCAATATCCTGGGGCTCAAATGATGTGGCCACAACTTGGTTTCACTTTTGCTTTTTTATTTTAAAAAATTGTCATAAAATACACCAAAAAAATTACCACCATAGCTGTACAGTTCTGTAGCATTAAGTACAGTCACATTGTTATGCAACCATCCCCACCACCCATCTCCAGAACTTTCTCATCTTCCCAAACTGAAACTCTGCCCTCATTAAACACCATCTCCCCAACCCCTGGCCCCCACCATTCTACTTTCTGTCTCTATGAATGTGACTCCTCTGGGGACTTCCTATGAGTAAAATCATACAATATTTGTCCTTCTGTGACTGGCTTATTTCACTTAGCATAGTCTTCAAGGTTCAGCCATGTTGTAGCATTTGGCAGAATTTCCTTTTTTAAGACTGAATAGGGGCCGGCCCTGTGGCATAGCGGTTAAGTGTGCGCGCTCCGCTGCTGGCAGCCCGGGGTTCAGATCCTGGGTGCACACCGATGCGCCCCTTGTCAGGCCATGCTGAAAAAAAAAAAAAAAAAAAAAGAGGAGGACTGGCACGGATGTTAGCTCAGGGCTGACCTTCCTCACACACAGACAAAAAAAACCAAATAATGTTCCATTATACGGATGGACCACATTTTGTTTATCCGTTCATCCATCAGTGGACACTTGGGTGGCTTCCACCTTTTGGCCATTGTGGATAATGCTGCTATGAATACGGGTGTACAAGTATCTCAAGTCCCTGCTTTCATTTCTTTGGGGCATACACCCAGAAGTGGAATTGCTGGATCACAGGTAATTCCGTTTAACTTTTTTGAGAACCACCATACTGCGCTCTCACTCCATCTTTTGGCTCAGCTTTCTCGCGGGCTGGCGTCATTCTCTATCAAGTTCTCTCATCAAGGTACACTCCCTGCCTTCAACCACATCTCGTACTTTCCCGGCTTCAAGGTCCCAGGAAAGTGGGCTGCTTCTTGCTCACCGGCTCTGACTGGCCTGATTTTGGTCACTTGCTCTTAAGCCAATCACTGTGGCCAGGCCACAGGCCGAGTTTTGGAGTCAGGCGGCGGGGAGCTGCCCACTCAACCAGAGATAAACAAGGGAGGGGGTTGTTCCCCAGAGCACTGTGGTCCACCCGTGTCCACGCCACTGAGAGCGCGGACGGCAGCAGACATGGGTCAAAAAGCTGTCAAGGGGAGGAGTTCTCAGGCGTGATCAGGGGAGTTTGGGGCGAGCGGGGGTTAGTGGCAGAAATCTCTGAGGATGAGGAAGGCAGAGTGGAGCTGGGTTCACGAGGACACTGAAATCCCAGAGAACGGCAGACCCTGTGTAGACAGAGGGACCGCAAGAGGCGGGGCCGGACCTCAATCTTCAACCAGTGAGGGGGAGCGGGTGATGGGGACAGGGCGGGGATGGCCAGATGACAGGGGGCGTCAGTTAAGGCAAGGAGGCTGCCTTAGGTTGGGTCGAGGCGGAGATGCGGGGACAAGAGAGGGCAGCTGGCATCTGGGGTCTTCCCTCTTGTATGGTGACCAAAGAGAGAACACAGACGAGGAGGCAGGCGGGCTGACAACCTCCTGTCCAGCAGCTCCCGGAGGGTGGGGCAGGGCTGGGTGCACCCGGGATGCACTTTTAAGGGCGTTCTGGTCTCCTGCCACTTCACCTGCAGCCCAGTGGCCCACCTCACTCACTAAACCAGGCTGGATGGGGCACTAGGCCAACAGGCAACAAACACAAGCACAACTGCTTCTCCGGCACTCACTCCATGCCCGCCACTCTGGCCACCGCCTGAGGTTGAAAACCTCCAAGTCCGTCCTGGGCTCCTCCGCGGAGGTTGTGGTTTGACCCCAGGTCTTTGCTTCTAATCATGATCCTATCTGTCCCTATCTAAAGGATCGGATAGCGGCTGCCTTAGAGGCACGAGATCCTCAAAAGCATGTTCTTCAGAAAGGTAACCCTGGGCTCCTCCCAGGAACGGGCTAGGGACTTGGAGTCAGGACACCAGAGACCTTCCCTGTTCTGCCACTTGGGAGCGCTGTGAGCTTAGACAAGCTGCCCGGCCTGAGTCTGTGCCCTCAAGCGTCAGACAGACATTGCTGGTCTCTAACTTGAGCGTTAAAGCCAGTTACCACCTTCATCGTCGTGGTGACCTTGAACAATCGAAACTTACTTGAGCCCATTTTGTCTAAATACGTGCTCCAATAATTTTACCAAACCTTCTTCAATCTCAAGCTCTATTTGTTTAAGAAAGATCTCCGGGGGGGGGCAAAATGGAGAAAGTCTTACTTATGTGAAAAACGGCAATAAAAATTCAATTAACCATCTCTAGCAGTAAAACATCTCTGTAAAGAGACACAAAAAACTTCCCAGTGGCTGCCAAGGGGGAGGGTGTCTGTCCTCTCACATCCTTTTGCACATCTGACATTTTATATCATGTCGATACCTTATCCGCTCAAAATCCCAAGCGTAAATAAAAAAGGAAATTAGTAGGTACGGCATGCACCCATTTCTGTAACCAAACTTTTACATCTTACCTTGTTAATAGCGGTTATCATTTGGGGGCATTTGTTCTGTCCAAAGCATAGTGCCCAGCGCTCTTTTAAAAGACTCATCACGTTTCCTTGTTTTGTAGACACGGACACAGAGGCTCAGGCCGTGGTCACGCGGCGGGGCTCAGACCCGGCGCAGACACGGGATCCTGCATCCTTCACAAACGAGCCGCATCGTCCCCACGCTTCTGCAGGGAAGACCCGTCGTGAGGAAGATCCCTAAGTCTTGAACGGCTTCTCAGCGCCTTCGGGAAGCGAACCTTTTCGGCATCTCCTTGCTCCGAAGCTGCAGCGTCTGAAGCGCAGCCCCGCACCAGCCGACCTGCGCGTCGAGCCCGATCCGACACCGCGGGGAGGATCCTGCAAGGCGCCCGGTCCCCGGGGCGGTTACGTATGGCCCCCGAGCTGCTGGCCCGGCGTCTGAGTCGCAGCCCCGGCTCTTCCACGAACGGGACCTGAATCCTCGAGGCAGGTCTTTTTCCTGCCTGGGCCTCAGTTTCTCCATCTGTGAAAGGGGAGCTGGAGGATCCCGACCAGCTCGGCTCTGCCATTCGGAGACTCCGGCGCCGGTCCCGGCAGCAAAGGGGAGCTCGGCCCGCCGTTCCCCGCACACGCATCTCGGCCTTCTCGGCTTCTGCCGGGAGATGCGGGGAGTGGGGAGGAAGCTGGGCGGAGCAGCCTCCGGTCGACGGCGAACCTCCTCTACCGAAAGCCGGCCGCTCTCAGGACGCTCACCCGCCAGCCTCTCAAAGCCGTTTCCGCCAACGTACTCATGGCGACGGTTGTAAGATGGCGGCCGCGCAGGCGCGTAAAGTCGCAGCCGCAGCGAGGCTCCGCCCCTCGCCCTGCGTCACGTGGTCACCGCCTCTCCAAAACCGCCATTGAAAAAAGAACCGCGTCGTTATCACGTGACACAGGCCTCCCAATACGGCAAAGGGACGGCGCCAAAGTGCTCGTCACGTGGCCAAGGAGGGCTCAGAATTGGCCATCGTCACATGATCAAGCACAGACGTCCAAAGGGGAGGCACGCGTTCCGCCGCCACGTGACGGGCCACGCAACGCCCACGCTCCCGTCACGTGACCAGAGCCCACCTCCTTATCTCTCCGTCCCTCCCTCCCTCTCGGGCTGGGCCTGCGTCTAGCGGCAACGCGGCGGCGAGGGGGCGGGGCCCCGGCCGGTCACGTGTTCCCGCACCTCCCCGGCGCGCGCCCGCCCGCCCGCCCGCTCGCCCCCGGCCCCGGCTCCTCCTCCTCCTCTTCTCGCCATTGCAGTTGGGATTCGGCAGCCCGGTGCGCACCGCGTGGCTTTCAGAGGGGAGACCCCGGCAGGCTGTGGCAGGAGGGCGGCGGCGGCGGCTGTGGTCAGGGCAGGGGACGCCCACAAGGTAAGCGTCAATGTGGCGGCGGCCCGGCCCGCTCCCGCCTCCCCCTCCCCCCGCCCGTCC